TGCTTACGTACTTCATTAAACAGTATAAATATAATGCATTATACATGTAATACTATATGATTCTTGAAATATTTTAGGTGCGAGACCATCCAGTCCTGGTGTTTTTCCAGTTTTCAGTTTCTTCGCAACATGTGTAATAATTTCTTCTTCTGTTATTGCTCCTCATATAAAGTCATCACACTTTGCACATTTGTCGGAGCAAACATTATTTACTACAATATACTTCTTGACATAATCATTGGTTAAGAAGTGTCTTAAAGTATGTCAGCCATTTATCTCCTGGTATATCGTGTCGTGGTTGTTAGTAAGATCCACACACGTTCTTATTAGTTTCCAGAATAGTTTTACAATCTTTATATCTTGTGCTGCTTTAGACGTATCCAGCAATTTTAAAGAGCGTCTCAATAGTTGTTTGCCTGGTGGCCGCGTGAAGAACATACATGTATTAAATTTGATGCGTCTGTGACCAAAATGATGTGTGATGCAATTCCCTATCTTGACTTGAACCACACGTCCCCGTGTTTATTCGGGTGAAGTTGTGGAATGCTGACAAACGGAAACACTGGTGAGATGTGATATTTTTTAAAAATGTTTTCATATGACAAACAAATATTAAAATGCGAATTTCATAATTGTAATTACAGAAATCAAAGAATCCCCATCATGTTATCTCCGGTCGTACTACTCTTACTGTATTCATACATGGTAGTACATTCCGTTTAAATAATTCCTGAGTGAGTTTTTGTCCTTGGAACATTATTGCAGTTACTTCACAGGAGTTTAATGTAGGCGAAAAGCCGTATGTGACGTAGTGTGACAGAATGAATCTCGGATTCAAACCCACAACCAGCAGATCGAGACTCGACTAAGGGACGCCACTCAAAACGACGGATTACGACCATATAAACTCATAGGCAAAAGAAAGTATACCGAGTTTGTTTCCTATGTCATTGAAAATTCAAAGAACTGTTGTAAAATTTGATTATGACTTTTTAATTAATTATGGTTGGGAAATTTTGTGCAAAAATAAATTGGTTCAAGACTGCGGTAAGAAATGAATGTGCAACCACATGGGTCCTACCGTGTTTGAAATCTTGTAAATTTGTGCCGAAAAAGGCAAATATATGGATAAGGTGTCTAAGATACACATCAGAAGTTTTTAATTTTCAAAAGTTTAAAATCAAATAATATTTTAAAAGACAAAACCATGTAGACATATTCTTTGAGTGCTGATTAAGCACTAGTGCAGTTTATTTTGGGGATCGGGTGGTAATGCTGGCTGACTTAGCAGATGCATGTCATCGTATCCCAATTGCTCATGATCTCAATCACTGAATTGTCTGGACCAGATTCCATTATTTACAGACCGCCGTAATATTGGTGGAATATTGCTGAGTGCGGCGTTAAACACCAACCAACCAACCAACCTACCAACAAACAAACCAAACAATAAAGGCTGGGGGGAAGGGAAAGACTAAACCTACATGTATATTTTTTATAAAAAGAACTATATATTTGAAGAGTCTAATTTTATTTATATTTCGACCACCGGCGAAAAATTTGGCAAAAAAACGTCTGTAAGCAAACTAAATAACGAGGCATTATACAGTAAATTGATCCTTTCGACGTCTTGTGAACACTTCCTCTCCAAACCACAATACCAATATTCAGCAAGTGAGCGTCTGCTCGTAGGTCGGAAAGATCGGAAAGTCGGTGGTTCGATTCATGACGCGTAATGCCAATAGACGTTAAAACATGGTGCAGGTTGTTACCCTGCCTGGCGATCGGCATTGATGTGATAAAACAAGGACTGTCGGCGGCAAGTCAGGTTCGTTACATCGAAGGCCGGGTGGTCTGATTCGCACATGATTAAAGAGAAAAAGTGAGAATAGCTTTAAGCGGTCTTCAGCAATAATCCAGGAGGGTCACCCAGTGGTCGCCAGAAATTGGCTTCTCTCTAAGTCACATACGCGCACGCACGCACGCACGCACGCACCCATGCACACACGCACGCTCACCCACAAGCGCACACACACGGGATCTATCCAAGAGATCCTAGTAGGCCATCTGGAACAAAGTCGTGGCTCTTCCTCAAGTTTCCCATTTCGTCTTCAAATGACTTGGGAATGGGAGTTGTTGCCTTAGCCCGATCAAACACCTTGGCCTGAAAGGTATCGAACTGCATAAGGAACGGGACTTCTTGGTGATTGTGATCATGGTCGTGGATTTCGACTCTATGAAGTAAGTTGTCTACTGTCGTAGGATAGGCACTGCGAAGTGACTCGACCGTCAGCAAGACGCGGTAGATTATCACAAGTGATGCAGGAGATATATCACAAGAGGTACAGTAGATATATCACACATGACGCAGAAGATATATCACAAGTGATGCAGGAGATATATCACAAGTGATGCAGGAGATATATCGCACATGACGCACTAGATATATCAGAAGTGATAAAGGAGATATATCGCAAGAGGTACAGTAGATATACCACACATGCCGCAGGAGATATATCACAAGTGATGCAGGGGATATATCTCACAAGTGGTGCAGAAGATATATCACAAGTGCTGCAGGAGATATATCTCACATGACGCGATAGACATATCACAAGTGATGCAGGAGATATATCACAAGAAGTACAGTAGATATATCACACATGCCGCAGGAGATATATCACAAGTGATGCAGGAGATATATCTCACAAGTGGTGCAGGAGATATATAACAAGTGATGCAGGAGATATATCTCACATGACGCGGTAGACATATCACAAGTGATGTAGGAGATATATCACAAGTGTTGCAGCAGATATATCACAAGTGATGCAGGAGATATATCTCACATGACGCGATAGACAAATCACAAGTGATGCAGGAGATATATCTCACAAGTGGTGCAGGAGATATATAACAAGTGATGCAGGAGATATATCTCACATGACGCAGTAGACATATCACAAGTGTTGCAGCAGATATATCACAAGTGATGCAGGAGATATATCTCACATGACGCGGTAGACATATCACAAGTGGTGCAGGAGGTATACCACATATGACGCACCAGATATATCACAAGTGATGCAGGAGGTATATCTCACATGACGCGATAGACATATCACAAGTGATGCAGGAGATATATCACAAGAGGTACAGTAGATACACCACACATGCCGCAGTAGATATATCACAAGTGATGCAGGAGATATATCTCACAAGTGGTGCAGGAGATATATCACAAGGGATGCAGGAGATATATCTCACATGACGCGGTTGACATATCACAAGTGATGTAGGAGATATATCACAAGTGTTGCAGCAGATATATCACAAGTGATGCAGGAGATATATCTCACATGACGCGGTAGACATATCACAAGTGGTGCAGGAGATATATCACAAGTGGTGCAGCAGATATATCACAAGTGATGCAGGAGATATATCTCACATGACGCGTTAGACATATCACAAGTTATGCAGAAGATATATCACAAGTGTTGCAGCAGATATATCACAAGTGATGCAGGAGATATATCTCACATGACGCAGGAGATATATCACACGTGATGCAGGAGATATATCACAAGAGGTGCAGGAGATATATCACACATGACGCAGTAGGTATATCACAAGTGATGCAGGTGATTTATCTCACATGATGCAGTGGATATATCACAACTGATGCAGTAGATATATCACAAGTGATGCAGGAGGTATATCTTACATGACGCAGTAGATATATCAGAAGTGATGCAGCAGATATCTCACAAGTGGTGCAGTAGATATATCACACATGACGCAGTAGATATATCACAAGTGATGCAGGAGATATATCACACATGACGCGGTAGATATATCACAAGTGATGCAGGAGATATATCACACATGACGCGGTAGATATATCACAAGTGATGCAGGAGATATATCACACATGATGCGGCAGATATATGATACATGACGCAGAGTATATATTGCACATGGCGCGGTAGATATATCACACGTGACGCACAAGACTTATCACAAGTGATGTCGTAGATGTATATCACCTGACGCAGTGTATATATCACACCTGACGTGTATATATCACAAGTGTTGCAGTATATATATCTCACATAACGCTATAGATATATCGCACACGATGCAGGAGATATATATCACATGACGCACTAGATATATACCTGATAGTGCAGGAGATATATCTCACATGACGCGGTAGATATATCACCCATAGTGCAGGAGATATATTACTTATGGCGCAGTAGATATAGCCCAAGCGGCGCTGGAGATATATCATAAGTTGCAAAGGAGATATGTCACTAGTTGTGCCACAGGGCTTTTATCATCCAAAACTGGCTCCCACAGGAGATATCGCTTGGATGAGATCAAGCGATATCTACACTGTAGATATTGCTGCAATAAAATAAATTATTACATCACAATGCTTTGAGGACCATTGTAACATCACTGGTTATCATGACGTCACAATCAAATGACATCACTAATGGCTCTGCTACTGAAGCTGCTAGCAGTACTTTTTACACTGAAGACACTGCTAATTACTGTTTACAAATTGAAAAAGTTGTAGGAATGATGTTGGATGATAAATAAAATCTCATCCTTGTGTCTTTTGATATCAAATATATCAACACGAGTTGATAAAAGTGGCAAAAATCCTCGGCAAGCCTCGGAATTTTTCCACTTTTATCAACTCGTGTTGATATATTTGATATCAAAAGACACTCGGGTGAGATTCTCTATATACCACACATGGTGCAGTAAATATTTCACCAGTATCAGTGCCAGAGGAGCTACATGTATCTCACTACTGGTGCACTAAACATACATTGTGGTTTTTAAAAGTGAAATTGAGAGCTATACAGTCGAACCTGTCAAATCCGGACACTGACTCAGTTTTGGTCCCACTCCATTATATGTATAAAGTCTCAACACCTGTAAATATTTGTTCATGTTTTCATCTGTTTATCACAAACATTGACTTATAACAAAAAAACTTTTATTTCTACAGATAGAACAAAGTACATAAGGAAATACATAAGGGCCAACACAGACGTTTCCTTAATATGTACAACACACTGGAAGTTTTTTTTACAAAGCCTAAACCCGTCTATATTAATTCATCACTTAGGATGTTTCACCGTACTTAGTTTTCTCAGATCAAAATCCAGGAAATCGAAGGAAGAACCAATGTTTCCATTTTCAATTCTTACAAAGACGCATACAGGATTAAAGCACCAAGCACGTGGCTATTCGTGACCAGGGTAAAGCCGTGAGATGAAGGGAGAGGACAGAGAATGAAGGTTGATATGTTGAGGTAGATAATCCCCATGTTGAGGAATTAGTTCGCGAGCATAAACCATAAGGGGTTAAAGCCGCTCGATCCTCCTCCTCCTCCTCCCATTTGATTGGAGAACATCATGTACCGAAGGAATGGGTTGTCAATCTGGTTATAACTGAAACAAAAGCACAAGTTAATTAAGGTACCCATTATTTAGTACTCTGGAGGTGTGTGTGTGTGTGTGTGTGTGTGTGTGTGTGTGTGTGTGTGTGTGTGTGTGTGTGTGTGTGTGTGTGTGTGTGTGATGCATAATATTTTCCGGTCACTTCTTCAAGCCTTCATATTTCATGTCCATTCACAGTTTTGTAAAACCCGAGGTCATGTGGCAGTCACGTGAATTAATTAAATGAATCGCATTCCAATTAGGATATAAATGCTTTCCGTGATCACTTACGTCATTGTGTGAATTGAGCGAATCTAGACTCATCTGTAAACATTACACGAGACCCCAGTTTCTAAGCTCTAAATTCCATTGGCGTCTTGCTAGAATGTGTTGATTTGTTGATGGTGGTACAACACGTGGTCGCCAAGCATGCAGATTTACTGAATGCAGACGAGGTCTTATCATCTGGTCAGCAACGTGAAAAACAGTGGCCTAACACAAGTGACCAGCAATTTCATAGGCTGTTTGGGCTCGATTTCTAAAAGCCTGGCTTCTTATTTAATCGATCCTGAATTTGTGCTGTTGATCTAGGGCGTCCTGTGCTGGTCTGATAAGTAAGATAATTATTGTCTGCAGAAACCTGTTCCAAAGTCTGCAAATCACAGACTTCGCGACCTCTTGCTGAGTTCTACATGTCTGAAGCATGACGCCTTCCCACTCAGATCACAATACTGCATTAAAGCAAGAGTAGAGAGCTTACATGTTCCACTGGATGATGAAAATTAACAATATTAGAGCTCAGAGCGATTTTATGACCTTTCACTGAAGCGTTAAAATCAAGAATGACCCACTACCCACTTGCATGGAGAAATGTCATGGCCTGCGTGCTGTGTTTCTGGTGCGTTGGGACGTTAGGTTTTGGTTCCGTAACCGTTCTATGACTGGCAGTTATTTCTCAAAGCTAATCTTTCATCTGACAACCGATCATAACATATATATTTTATGACCCCCTACTTGTTTTGAGAGTATAAGTCATATCAAATTGTATTTGCAGTGGTTTTATCGGGGGAAGCCTGATGTCATATTCGTCCATATTGCCATTTGAGCTTACTCGAAGAGATAAGTGCATTGTTGTGAAGTGCAGACTATAAACCTCAGCACACGTTTGTCATCATTATGGATGATGTGTTATCACTTGTGTCACCAGTACGCTTATACAGTGACGTTGGCGTCAGGTCACTCTGACTTGGCAATGCCTTTTAGAAAGTGGTCAAATGTAACATTTGTAACATTTGGGATCACACTTTCTCAGTAAAGTACACAATTCTAGTACTTTTTATGGTAGGGGTCCACCACATTGCAGACACTGTCTTCTAGAAAGTGGCCAGATGTAACATATGTTGTATTTGTGATTACACTTTCTTTGTAAAGTACAAATTCCAGTACTTTTTAGGGTGGAGTTCATCGTGTTACAGACAATCATCTTTTGTAAGTGGTCAGATGTTATATTTGTTATATCTGGGATTACATTTTCTTTGAAAAGTACATATTCCAGGACATTTTGGAGGAGTCCATCGTATTACAGAAAGAAGGGGTTTGCTTGTGAAATAAGCAAGGCTATATTGAATATATACTTACAAGTAGAATGACCATGGGTTGAAATCTGAAATGTAAATCAATCTATTAATAACAGGAAAGGAAAAGAGCTTATCAAAGTAGATGTTTCAATATTTACAAATTGGATAAATATAAAAGTACAAACGGTACAGAGTGAAATAAAAATTCTACGTTTTGCATTTGAGAAGATAACGATGTTGACCAGCAATGATCCATACGGTTTTTGTATTGTTTACACCGCACTCAGCAATATTTCAGCAATATCACCTGTAAATAATGGAGACTTAGCCAGGAAGTACAATCATGTCACATAATAAATAAACAAATTAAAATATACAATTAACTAATGAAGAGCAAATGATAGTTTAAGTTGCTTTTGGCTCAGCCATGTTCAGTTCTCATTACAACATATAGATGACCCTCTCGTGTCAATCAAACATAACGTCAGCAGTTGCAATCAACGAGTGTTTGATGGCAGTGGGTACTGGGGTCATCATATTTGTCACCAAATACCATCTTCAATTTTTAAAAAAGTGTTTAACTACTTATGAGCTTATATGACCATTCCGTTATGACGGAGTAATGCACAAACGAGATGCACATTGATATAAATGTAAATGGTGTCATAATTACTGCAATGGATAGATCGTCATGGATATCGATATAAAGCCTCATGTTTTCTCATGTCACATTGTTAAGTTATTTGAAAGGCATTAAGAAGTGATAAACACGAGGAAGGAATTTTTGGATGTCAAGATCTCATTATGAGGAAAACCGCGTTTCGGAGTATATGCTTACTCCTTCATTTCATATGATGAAGGAGTAATTATATTCTTGTGTTCCTCATAATAATGAAGCTGACATACATAATTTCCTTCTTTATCAAGTTATGTAGCTGCTCAAAAAAGATTAAGCGTTTAACCTTTTAAGAAACATGACATAAAACAGGAGAAAGAAGTTCCTAATGCTCATGCTAACATAAAGAATAACCTTGCCTTAGCTCGGAATTATGGTTTATATGTCCCAAGGGAATTAATGCTGAAAGTTCCAAACAGGACTTGGAACTAACAATTCTAATTCTCTTGATAACCTCTCTTGATTCTCTTGAATAATTAAACCGCAATTCCTTGTAAGTTATTGTTTAAACACACAGACAACCAAAAAAGGAAAAGAACATCTTCAACCAGAGATAAACCTGCATATCGCACTGTGTACATTTGTACATGCGGGAAACATGTGGAAGAAGAGATTCAATGACATGCTTGAAGTACGTCTTTAATATATACATAGCACAAAACTACCTCTACAAAAGATAAACGCCCATGTCAAAATGTTGCCGAAGGCTGTTGACGTTGACTTGATGTGTAATCCATCAAGCAGGTTCGTAAGAGGCAACTGATGTTATGCTGACGTGAAAACTAACTTGTTTACGATAAACAATATATATATATATATATATCCAAGACATGACGGCGTTTGGACGTGATCATTCTCTGAGATGCTGAAAACTCCACAGGGTGTTGATAACACACAGTTTGGATTCACGCAGTATGGTTGATGGGGTTGTATGTCAGGCACTTTGTGAAGTATGTGATTATGTAAGTGGACAAATTATGATTTACATATATAAGATACACGTATGTAACTTTTTGTGCTGATGAAAGTGTCAAAATTACATCGAACCAACCAAAAAGAGATACATCCCTGATGAAGTTACACCCAGGAAATGTAACCATTAACCACACAACGGAATAGTGAGTGAGTGAGTGAGTGAGTGAGTGAGAAATGCAACCATTAACCCCACACAGTGAGTGAGTGAGTGAGTGAGTGAGAAATGCAACCATTAACCACAGTGAGTGAGTGAGTGAGTGAGTGAGTGAGAAATGCAGTCATTAACCATAGTGAGTGAGTGAGTGAGTGAGAAATGCAACCATTAACCACAGTGAGTGAGTGAGTGAGTGAGTGAGTGAGTGAGAATGCAGTCATTAACCATAGTGAGAGAGTGAGTGAGTGAGTGAGAAATGCAATCATTAACCACAGTGAGTGAGTGAGTGAGTGAGGCTGATTTCGTAAGCAATATTCAAACAAGATGACAACAGGGATACACGTAATGGGCTTCATGCATTGTTCACCGAAATGATGACAAAGGTTTAAAGGGACAATATCACATTCTATTCTAGTACATGTAGATATATGGAGGATACACATGTGATGTTTTCAATATGGAGCTAGATTTCCTGAAGACTGAATTGAAGAAAATTGAGCTTGTCAGTGAACGTATATTTTGAACAATAACCCCCCGGTCGATCTTTATCGTAGTTTCTGCTTCTTGTAACTGGTAATTGTACATATCATTCTTTCAAAACATCAACGGATAACGATTGTAAAAGTACTTTTCAATATATATATGCATATACAGTACGGTTTTGAAATCAAGTGATTTGAAATATATGACTGACCAATCAGAATCGAGTATTTTATGTCATAGCAGAATAGCCATTTACATTGAATACTTTGTAAACATTATGCTGTTAGCTTCATCATTATTACATTCACCGTCAACAGCACAGTTGCGTCACTCAGATGAGTGATATCTATAACTCCTGTTCAAATATATGTATTTTAGTATAATGCAGAATCCCTGAATTTTACACACTATTCCGTACAGTGTCGTAAACAAATGTATAAATATAAGAGATTTCGAGTAAACTGCCGGGCATAAGAAAGTAAACACGGTGGTTATAAAGAAAACAAACATGAAATGGTTATTCGATGTTGATGTATTTAATACAGGTATCATAGTTGTGCTTTGGGCCTTAATTTTACAATGTTTTGTAATTTTTTCGTCAAATATCAACTGGTAATACTTTACTTTCGTTTCCCCGGCAGTTTAGCATATATCTAGGGCTTTAAAGCCTGGGCCTTATCGGAGAAGGTAAGATAATATTGTATGTACTCACATTGTTGCTGCCGCTGCTGCTGCTGCTGCTGCTGCTGCATCCTTTGCAGTTGTTGCTGCTGTGCAAACGACCCAAGTGGTCCCGCCAATGAGCCAGTCGCAGGACTCCCAGGGACTGGACCCGTGGGATTTGGCTGGTTCGGTGAAGGCACTTGCCCATACACCACTGCCACTAACGTAGCGATCTTAACAGAGGATAGAAACAGGTTAAGCATTCGCGACTTAAGAACATCCCGATAAGCTACTGAGTTTGGTCTACAGGGTAGTGATTGTGCATCATACTTGTCAAGGATATACTTTTCGCCTATGTTAATTCAGTGTTCATGGTAGTAATTCAGACACAAGAATAGTACAGAATATGAGTGAACATCGTTTCACTCGATATAGAGGTGGAGCACACCACGATCAGACTCAGGGGCCCAGCACGTAATATTCGGGGGGTGAGGTTGGGATTGAGTCGGGGTGGGGTTGGGGATGTGGCGTCGGGATGAGGGATGAAAAGAATTCACACACATCCAGCATTTATTTACTTTGTCGTGAAAACCTGAAGATATTTTTTCCCAATTTAAACGGAAACCATCTTTCTCTATACTACCCCCATACCCTCTCCAACAGCTACTTCCATATTGAATGGTCAGATCCCTAATAAAATGTATATACATTGGAAATCGAACCAGGTGTTTAGGAGACATGATCGATAGCTTCTAGGGCCTGGTTTACGTATGCTAAGAAAAATAGTTTCAAAACGGTCGGAACGCAGACAAAAATCAGAATTGAACATATGCAGCCAAGTGGTTCCACACGGAATGGTAAACGGACAACACACAACTCATTTGTGTGGGTGGCGATCTTAATATTTATACTCATGGGGTGACTAAAGTCTATAAAAAATATTCAAATAAGCGTTTAAAGATCGGCTTAATATTCGGCATGGTTTTATTTTGAAAAGGAGTTTGTGATAAAAGTATATATATATTCAACTAAACGTTTAAATGATCGGCTTAATATTCGCTATAGCTTTATTTTGAAAAGTTGTTAGTGAGTTAGGTGTTGCGCAGCTTTTAGCAATATACCAGCAATTTGACCGCGGGGACCTTAATGGGCTTCGTTTTATAAACCCATTTATGGAACCAATCACTAATAAACAAAATAGTTTATCGTACGTAACGTCTTATGCCAAAATACATAGAATGCAAGTTAAAACATACTGTTAAATATGTTGCATAAATCATTGGGTGCAGTTTCTCGATTTCAGATCAATGAACAACATCATGTGACATCTAGAACGTCGTATATCCTTTAATTGAACATTTATTCACGTAAGAAAACTGATCTACTAAGTTATCGATAAGATAAATACTGGCTATTTGTCCCTTCTCACATTTTCTATTAAAGGACAGATGAACACAAAATGATGTAAGTCCTCAGTTTGGTCGAGATCACAGCGAGAACACAGACATGGTGTTAGAGGAATATTTGTTGCAAATTTACAGGCTGAGTCAGTTAAATATCGAACCCGGGTGTCGGCCGTGACGTAGAAAAGCTTTATCCACTGGGCCATCCCACTGCCCCGCCTTTAGACTATTTCAACAAAAACGCGATTTCAATTTCAGAAATGTCAATGTTTGCCAATAGGTTTTGACAGATTGGACAAGGACATAAACGTTTGCTCTGATTTTTAGAAATATTAGTTTAAGGCTGGAAGATGACACAAGCGAACTAAATCTTTAACAGTGGGAAATACATATCAGTTGTATTACTCACCAAGAGAATGCACAGCTTCATCCTTAGTGCTTTATCTGATGAAGTTGAGATGTTGCTGGAGATTGGTGTTCTGGGACACGAAAGGTACTAGAATCTGTATATATACTCTTCCACTGATGTCACGTGAGAGTCACATACGGTCAGTAAATATATCATACCTTCAGATACCAGCGAGGGCAGGGGGAGGGGTCGTGGATGGTTGGAGATAGTGAGAATGAGACTGATGACTTCAGCATGTTATCAAGGGGAGGCGCGTAATTCATCATGTGTCAAGCTGCTGCACGCATCTCTACCTGATGGGCATGTTTTGTTCTACACGTGACGTATTTTCAAGGGGGATGCGGGACCAGGTGTGATATTCTTTTCATCTTAAGGACGGGGAAGTTTGAAGAACACGCATGTGTACAAATAATGTCATCCTGACATCCGTGATCTCACGATTTTTCTTTTGATGTATGTTCGTGGAAATCAAGGATCCTGGTACTTTTTCTTCCTTGATGAAATATTACACTATGTAAATATATCACGACACACAATAGTAATAACAGGTGTTTTACAAACAATATTTGACTTATATAACCCGCAGTCCTTTTTGGAGTTGGGGTTGTCGATGTTGCCACACATTTGCTTCAGTTTTAGTAACTACGTTTTATTGAAGATGGTCCTCTGAGTTCATCGCTAATTACCAAAATAAGACTATTTCTTCTGACTTATTCGCTTGTGCATGTAGATCTAGTGAGTAAGTGAGTATGGTTTTACGCCGCTTTTAGCAATATTCCAGCAATATCACGGCGGGGGACACCAGAAATGGGCTTCACACATTGTACCCATGTCGGGAATCGAACCCGGGTTTTTGGCGTGACGTACGAACGCTTTAACCACTAGGCTACCCGACCGCCCCTTAGATCTAGTGTATTCTTTTGACAACCTATATGTATGGGTGTTACATCATTAGGCATGCTTCTATTTTATTGCATAACTGTTGTCATGACTATCTCTTTGACGGCACATCATTTCTCGGATGAATAACTATGGACATACATGTATATATTTAATAACTTTAATAATGCGATGAATAAATGTTGACATACACGTTGATGATGAATAACAAGCTAAATTATGAACTTTGAAAGAACGCAACATGACGTCACATAGCCCGACAGTTATTCTCAATGACATCAGAATATACCGGCGCTTTCAAAGTTAAACTAAAGAAGGACAAGAAACGGTCACGAAGAGTTCCCCCGATTTAAGAGCAGAAGAGGTATTAGAGGTAGAAGTGGAACTACTACTACTACTACTACTACTACTACTACTACTACTACTACTACTACTACTACTACTGAAGATCCCCTTCAGCAAACCATGCTTGCCGTAAAAGGCGACTATGTTTGTCGTAAAAGGCGACTAACGGGATCGGGTGGTCAGGCTCGCTGACTTGGTTTAATGCATGTCATCATATCCCAACTGCGTCGATCGAAACTCATGGTGTCCATGACTGGATTGTCTGGACCAGACTCGATTAATTACAGACCGCCGTCATAAAGCTGGAATATTGCTGAGTGCGGCGTTAAACAACAAACAAACAAACAAACAAACTACTACGTAGTAAAATGTGTTTTAAAACAAAAACGAATACGCATTACAATGTCCAATGTAATAGTACAATGTACTTCCAGTTAATGTTGACACAATAAATAACACAGTGTCGCGTGTTTTAAACTTACAACACAGACATGGCAAGCTAGATCCAATGTCAGAGCGGCCTCAGTGATGTAAACTAATATAATCCCATACATCTGTTTCAGGTGCCTGGATGAATAGTTGCCCTCTCCTCATATAACATCTCGACAAACGAGGCTGCTTTAGCCATAAGAATTCATCTGAAGTCAGGTTTTGGCAACAACATGAAAAAAGCAAAGGCTTCTTTTAGTTTGAGTGAAGAGATGCTCTCTGTCGTTAAGACACGTACATATACTTTTATCTGAAACAACTACATAATAAATCAATGGGACTTCTCGAAAGTCCTTTACATGCGACAACTGGCCTCAAGACTTCTTATACCAAAGAGTAGTTATATCCCAGGACTAAACTGTCTTATCGTAGGTACTGTCAATTATAGGTCCCGCCATTCATTTGTGTTCTAATTGCCAATGTCAAAGTTACGACATGTATTGCATTTAAATCCTCCGGCCCATATATACTGAACAAACACTGTTTCGGGGTCATGAGGATTTTTGGGGATATTTTTTTTTATCTTGAAGATTTAACACTTTTTAACAGTTCGTTTCGTAAATGAAATATCATGTTGGGCATGCAAAGCCTGTTTTAATATGACAGCATCGTCATATCAATAGAGAAGAGACATAAAAACAAGGGAAGGGTAAAAAATATGTTCCCGTGTTTTTCAGGTGAACAATTGACTTGCCTTTGCATGTGTTTGTGACGGGTACCACCGGTGGGGCAGGGTACGCTCACCTTTTCGCAAACACCTGGTATCATCACTATTTGATAGTGATTCTTAAACACATTGTCATGAGATAGTCGGAATCGTACAATCGACCCTGCTTTATGCAGAGATTTCTATTTAATGTAGAAAGGGCTTTCGCTTTATTGACAGATAGCGTTCTGGTACGAGTATAAACATATTTTTTCGATCACAACAGACACAGACATAGAAAAGTAAAATGATTTTTATTTTCGATAGTTGAATGACATGATGGGCATAACCTCTTATCATGAGATCTGTCAGTCCGGGCCTCAATTGAATAATGAAGCTGGTAATGTTTGAATAAACGTGACACACCAGGGACAACACCCACGTTGTTTATGATCCATATTTGTTAAAAACATTGTGTTTTTGCAGCTATATAGACACGTGATTAAAAATATACTAAAAAGACTGGGAACTCAATTCGGACTAACGGGGTTTCTCTGTATCAGGTATTATAAACATATTAATTGTTAATATCTAAAACGTTAGTAAAAGTAATGTGTAAACTTAATGTAGTAAGAAAGTAGTTTCATTGTATTGTATTCTTCACTTTGCGTTGATATCTTGATCATACAAATAAAAGCGACAAGACTATTTCCATAATCATGAGAAAGCAGCGTCTGTTGTACGATTCCGAATATATCATAAGCATGTGTTTATGAATCACTATCAATTAGTGATGATACGAGGCACCCTTCACAAACACATGCACAGGCTAGGTAAGTCAAGCATTTACTTGAACAAACAGAGGAACATACTGACAGTCTATAAATCAATCAGACATTCTTTGGTAATTGATCCGTCTCTTTTTATTCCCAAATGGCTTGGGGAATTTCTAACAGAAATGAAATGAGTTGTTATTGATGATACATCTCTGAAAGAGTATATTGAGTTATTATTACTTATGTATGCTGATGATTCTGTTCTTTTATCTACAAATACATCTGATAAGTTTGCGATAAATGGGAATAAAGTAACAAAACCCTTTCCATATCCAAGAAAAATCGCTGCATAAAGCAGAGTTGATTGTACGATTCCGACTATATCAGGAGAATGTGTTTAGGAATCACTATCAAATAGAATTAATAATACCAGGTGTTCGCGAAAATGAATATTGACAAATGTAAAATTCGCACATTTGGTGGAACAAAGACTGCTTCTTTCATACTATTTACTTAAATAATATTGTTTTAGACACTGTTAATGAATATAAGTACCTGGGAGTCATTTTTAAAAAGTCATGTACATTCTATTCCACCCATCCACTATTGTATGAGAAAGCATGAAAGACAATGGATTTGTTAAAAGTGTATTCCTTCAATGGTCAAACTGGTGAATGCAAAGATAAACAATATTTGAATGCAAGATAAATTACCATAAAGAAGTTATGACATTTTGTAAATCTACTATAAATGTTTTCAAGTGATTATTGTACATAATGCTGCCATGTATGTGTATACACATATTTATTAATCCTCAACATGCTATGTCTTGTAGCCTTGAGTGACATAAAGTTCGGTTCATTCAAACAACGAGATTAGGGATAGATGCACTCTGAATCAAAGTTGTATGGAAGATATACCCTACATAAACTCTGAAGCGAAAATGACACTAGGTTCTACAGTTTCTGTTCCACTTTACCTTCCAATTTGTTGACTCAGAAGTAGGTCAAGCATGAGGGAAATGTATTGCGATGTGACCTATTTACTTGTCGTCTAACATGACTTCAAAGCAGGTATCTTTTTATATGACGCGCGCGCATATGATAATATGACAGTCCCATAGAGAGTGCACAGTGTGAGAGTAGACAAGGTTTTGGTTTGGTTTGGTTTGTTTAACGCAGCACTCAGCAATATTTCAGCTATATGACGGCGGTCTGTAAAATAATCGAGTCTGGACCAGACAATCCAGTGATTAATATCATGCGCATCGATCCACGCAATTGGGATCGATGGCATGCATCAACCAAGTCAGCGAGCCTGACCACCCGATCCCGTTAGTCGCCTTTTACGACAAGCATAGTCACCTTTTACGGCAAGCATGGTTTGCTGAAGACCCATTCTACCCCGGAATCTTCACGAGTGAGAGTAGACAAAGAACTACATGGATTCATTTCTAGATACCTAAGTGGTGTTGATTTTCTCTCTCTTTTTAATGACATACCAATCCACGTTAAATCAGGTCTTATACACAGATCAATAAATCTCTACAACAGAGGTATAAAACTAGGGTAAAAGATCTAACTTGCATGAGATTGTCACGATGACTATTCCAGAAATATCACGAACACAAGTGATCAATTTCCCACGTTTTCATCCATTACGGGAATCGTAAAAAAACCGACAAAACCCTTTCCAGGCCATAATCATAGGTAACTTCTGCTAAAAGTAGAGTCAATGGCATAAGCATGTTTATGAATCACTATCAAATAGTGATGATGTCAGGTGTTCGCGATATTATGAGCGTATCCTGCCCCACCAGTGGCACCCTTCACAAAGGCTTGCAAATGGTCCATAATTCATCGAAACAAACATGGGACAAATGGTACATGTCCAAATAGAGAATTGCATCGGCATGGACACAATTTCATCAATGATTGCAATAAATTCGAAAATGATATTCACATATCTTCCCAAAAAAACGTTTTAGCTTTACTGATGCCTCAGGCGTCGTTGACG